AATAGAATAGAATAGATTAGAATTCGAATTTCAAATAGAATAGGATAGAAAGAATATAGCTGTCTTTCGAAATTTGAATTTTGAAAATAATAAAATAGACAAAATATAGCCATTTTCCGAAACTCGAATTTCAAAAAGAATAGAGTAGAATATAATAAAACAGAATAGAATAAAACAGAATAGAAAAGAAAAAATAGAAAAGGATAGACTAGAATAGCTATTGACTCTGCAGACAGTTGGTGACTTCTACGCACTGTACACTTCAGCATGCGCTGACCTAGCTCTGTCATTTTAGGTGACCTACCACTTCGTGGATGAGTTGCTGTTGTTCCCAGTAGCTTCCACATTGTTATAATAACATTATAACACAATTTGGTATAATACCACTAACCAGGGGCGGACTGACAACTCATGGGGCCCCCGGGCAATAGGGGATCATGGGGCCCCTGTGTCCTTGCCCAAACTCACAAAAGCCTATGAAAAAGGTACCAGGGGCATCTCATGGGGCCCCCTACTGACCCCGGGCCCTCGGGCAGTGCCCAAGTTTCCAAATTGTCAGTCCGCCCCTGCCACTAACAATTGATCGTGGAATATTTAGTAGCAAGGAAATTTGACGGACGGACTTATTGCACAGGAGGCAACCTAGCACGGTACCATGCTTGAATTTACTGAGCTCCTGAGCGCGACCCATTCTTTAACAAATGTTTGTAGAAGCAGTCTGCATGCCTAGGTGCTTGATTTTATACACCAGTGGCCATGGAGCTGATTTGAACATCTGAATCCAATGATTTGGAGGGTTGGCCCAATACTTCTGGCAATATAGTGCATGTATAGTATATTTGTTTTTATAGATGTTGATGTTTGCATTATTCTCCTCTTGTTCTTCCCTTCCTTCTTGTTTTTCAGATGTTCCAGGACAAGAGTCATCATTACATATGTTTGGACATATTTATTATGTTTGTTTGTGGTTTTGAAATCTCAAATTTCAGAAGTGGGGTGACATGTTACACATGCATTTTGACCTGCTGATTAGCATTGTTTGTTTCTAATTTGCCATGTTCTGAACCTGATCCTGTAGTTCAGTTTTCCTTTGTTTTGTTACCTCCACCTTTCAAACACAATATGCTAGTCTCCATTCCATCTACATGGGTATTCCTAGAGTGGATCATAGTATGATCTTTTAACCTATCTGGATTTTCATTGTTGTTAATATCTGTAGAGTTTTGGATTACATTTCTCAAAACCTTTAAGGTGTTATTTGATGACACTTCCAATGTTTAAACTGGGAAGGTAGGTAAGGCCAGCTGCTGTGATTTGTTCAAGACTCATAATAGACGGTTTAAGGCAACCCATAGATGATTTTTTTTTTTTTTTATTCAACCATGGGGTTGGATGAAAAAAAAAATGCTTTGATTCCCCCATCCACACATTTGAAGTGGATGGGGGAATCCTCCTGCTGTGCCTTTGTATTCTAACAACAGGGAGACTTTCCTGATGGTCAGAATAAACTGATCAGTGCTGCTGACTAGGGCTGGTGGTGCTGATTGGAAATTTTCCAACAGGGAGTTTGGTAGATTGATTTCTGTACAATCACAACCATTCTGCCCATACATGGATAGAGATGTGTCCAGTCTCTGCTGAACCAGCCGAATTTTGATCCATGTATGGCCAACTTAAGTCTGAGTGCAGGTTCACATATATGAGGATTGGACCGCATCCAATCCGCATGACATATGAAATAACACTGCTTCCTATGGTGCCTGTTCACATACTGTATGCCCATGTACTAGCGGTGCGGATTCAGTGCAGTTTAAAAAAGAGTCATGTACGATTTCTGAGCAGTGCCTTCAGGTTCAGATGCGGATTATATGCTATTGACTTCTATGGGAACCGTTTCTAAACCGCATATATGTGTGAACAAGAGAAAACAGCACTTAATCCTGTCCTGAACCTGATGTAAACCTGACCTGAACCGCTGAACATCTACTGTGTCAATTAGCTGTGCAACCTGAGCTTCAATCTGCACCGCACATGTGTGAATCAGCACTAAGAGGGAGATTTACTAAAACTGGAGCACTCAGAATCTGATGCAGCTGTGCATGGTAGCCAATCAGCTTCTAAATTCAGCTTGTTCAGTTAAGCTTTGGCAATAAAACATGGAAGCTGATTGGTTTCTATACAGAGCTGCACCAGATTTTGCACCAAGGAGTTTTAGGAAATAACCTCCTACATGTTCCTCCTAGATGGTACTGAATACTATAATGTCAACATGATAGGGTGTTCCAATCCTTCCAACAGACAGTTCACAGTTTTTTCCACTCTGGTCCCATCATGTGATCCTGCAGACCATGTAAGGGGGTGCTGGACAACCGCTCTGAATTCCAGGAGCCATGATGACATTCAAAGGCCACCATGGCCCATTCAATGATGGTGCTCTCCACTTGGCAACCTCTTACTGACATAGGGGAGCTGGAGCTGCAGGATCACATGACCGAACTGGAGTAGATTTAAAATAGGTAGGTATACAGATCGTTTTATACAAGTTAGGTAGGAGGAGGGGTAGGTAGGAGGAGGAGGGGGGAAGGAACATTTTTAAGAATAAATACAGTTAGGCTTTTCTTCCATTTTAATAAATATATTGTTGCTGTTAGTTATGTTAGATTTAAATTCCTATATGTATTTTATTATTTAACAGGATGTGTGGTTTTTTTATTGTGAATTTTTTAAAAATGTCCAATTTTAGCTGGTATATGGTTCAACTTGCTCTTGAATGTGTTGGTACATAGCTGAAAGCCATCTTCTTTCTGCCTAGCAAGGTATGTATTAATAAATATATGTTGCTGCTGTTAGTAGTGGTGGTAGTTGATACATGGCTGCAAGGCCATCTTCTTTCTGCCTAGGTATTATTCCCTGTGCCACTAACCTGCATGCAGCAACAAAAGGTAATATACAGTATGTGCTTAACGGATTGTATTGTGTTTTGTCTTAAAATGCTTCCTGTTTTCCCAGATGTGTGGTTTGGCTTCAAAAAAGTTTTACTGTCTTTGTTCCAAAGAGGATTCTAGCTTCTCCAAATATAGCGTTCAGGTTACAGACTGTTAATGAGCTGGTTAGGAATGTTTTCTCCTGAAAATGCCTGCAATTTATTTTATGTAAACAAGTGTCCCATGAACTGCTTCTACCAAGTCAGGTAAACATTCATGTAAGTACTCTGTGACTATAGGCAGAAGTTTATAAGATGATAAAGAAGTAGTACAGTGGATATAAAAAGTCTACACACCCCAGTTAAAATGTCAGTTTTCTGTGATGTAAAAAAATGAGACAAAGATAAATCATTTCAGAACTTTGTCCACATTTAATGCAACCTATAAACTGTACAACTCAGTTGAACAACAAACTGAAATCTTTTAGGTGGAGGGAAGTAAATATAAAAAACAAAGAATATGGTTGCATAAGTGTGCACACCCTTAAACTAATAGTTTGTTGAAGCACCTTTTGATTTTATTACAGCACTCAGTCTTTTTGGGTATAAATCTATCAGCATAGCACATCTTGACTTGCCCACTCTTAATTGCAAAAACACTCCAAATCTGTCAGATTGTCCGGGCATCTCCTGTGCACAGTCCTCTTCAGATCACCCCACAGATTTTCAATTGGATTCAGATCTGGGCTCTAGCTGGGCCATTCCAAAACTTTGATCTTTGGGTGAAGCCATTCCTTTGTTGATTTGGATATATGATTTAGGCCGTTGTCATGCTAAAAGATGAACTTCCTCTTCATGTTCAGCTTTCTAACAGAAGCCTGAAGGTTTTGTGCCAATATTGACTGGTATTTGGAACTGTTCATAATTCCCTCTACTTTGACTATGGCTCTAGTTCCAGCTAAAAAAAAACAGCCCCAAAGCATGATGATGCCACCACCATGCTTCACTGTGGGTATGGTGTTCTTTTGGTGATGTGCAGTGTTTTTACACCAAACACGTCTTTTGGAATTATGGCTAAAAAGTTCAACATTGGTTTCATCAGACCATAACAAATGTTCCCACATGCTTTTGGGAGACTTCAGATGTGTTTTTGCAAAGTTTAGCCGTAAGAAAAGGTTTCTGTCTTGCCACTCTACCCCATAACCCAGACATATGAAGAATATGGGAGATTGTTGTCACATGTACCACACAGCCAGTACTTACCAGATATTTCTGCAGCTCTTGGCAGCCTCCCAGACCAGTTTTCTTCTTGTCTTTTCATCAATTTTGGAGGGACGTCCAGTTCTTGGTAATGTCACTGTTGCGCCATATTTTCTTCACTTGATGGTGACTGTCTTCACTGTGTTCCATGGTATATCCAATGCCTTGGAAATTCTTTTGTACCCTTCTCCTGACTGATATCTTTTAACAATGAGATTCCTCTGATGCTTTGCAAGCTCTCTGCGGACCATGGCTTTTGCTGTAGGATGCGACTAAGAAAATATCAGGAAAGACCTACTAGAACAGCTGAACTTTATTTGGGGTTAATCCGAGGTACTTTAAATGATGGCAGGTGTGTGCTGATTTAACATGGTTTGAATGTGATTGCTTAATTCTGAACACAGCTACATCCCCAGTTATAAGAGGGTGTTATGCAACCACATTATTTTAGTTTTTTATGTTTACTTTTTTCAGTTTGTTTTTCAATTCAGTTGTACAGTTTATAGGTCACATTAAAGGTGGAAAAAGTTCTGAAATTAATTATCTTTGTCTAATTTTTTTTACATCACAGAAACCTGACATTTTAAAAGGGGTGTATAGACTTTTTTATATCCACTGTACATGCTAAAAAAATAGGGATGGCTAAATGATTTACTGTATTTTTCGCTCCATAAGGCGCACTTTTTTGCCCCCAAAATATGGGGGAAAATATCTGTGTGTCTTATGGAGCGAATATGGAGCTGCCGGCCCAGTATTCCTGCCGCCGCCGTGTCAGAATACCGGGTCGGCTGCTCAGCTCTTCTCTGCAGCAGAGCCTTACCTGTTCCTTGGTCCAGCGGAGTCCTCATGGTCTTCTCTCCCGGCACGGGCATCTTTAGTGTGGGCACCCGGCTGTGACAGCTTGAGGCTTCACAGTCGGGTGCCCACTGCGCATGCACGAGAAGCGCTGCGCTTTGTGAATAGTCCGGCAATCTTCTGGGACCTGTCACGTGTCCCAGAAGACGGGGATGGAGGAAGTGGGAGCGGGTACCTGTCAAATTTGGGTACCTGCTCCCACACTCTTCCCAAAGGTCCACAGTCTCTGGTCATCCCCTGTACTGTGTCCACAGTCTCTGGTCATCTGTAGTAAGTCCTCAGTCTCTGGTCATCCCCCGTACTGTGTTCGCAGTCTTTGGTTATCTCCTGTACTGGGTCCGCAGTTTCTAGTCATCTCCTGTACTGTGTCTACAGTCTCTGGTCATCTCCTGTACTATGTCTGAAGTCTCCGGCCATCTCCTGTACTATGTCCGCAGTCTCTGGTCATCTCCTTTACTGTGTCCGCAGTCTCTGGTCATCTCCTGTACTCTCCGCAGTCTCTTGTCATCTCCTGTACTGTGTCCACAGTCTCTTGTCATCTCCTGTACTGTGTCTGCAGTCTCTGGTCATCCCCTCTACTATGTCCGCAGTCTTTGGTCATCTCCTGTACTGTGTCTGCAGTCTCTGGTCATCTCCTGTACTGTATCTGCAGTCTCTGGTCATCTCCTGTACTTTGTTTGTAGTCTCTTGTCATCTCCTGTAGTATGTACGCAGTCTCTGGTCATCTCCTCTACTATGTCCACAGTCTCTGGTCATCTCCTGTACTATGTCCGCAGTCTCTGGTCATCTCCTGTAGTGTGTCCGCAGTCTCTGGTCGTCTCCTGTAGTATGTCCGCAGTATCTGCTCATTTCCTGTAGTATGTCCGCAGTCTCTGGTCATCTCCTGTACTAGTAAAAAAAGAGATATTGGCCAGACAATGTACAGGAAGTTGTACATTGCATTAAAACAATGATAAAGAACAAAAGATGGGAAGAATCACTTTCAGAAGAAAAAGGGGTGGTACTTTAGTGGAGTGCCATTTGGTTAGAATGCTCACAACAACTCCTTGGGTTTATGGACATGCCCAGGGCATATAAATTTCTCATCTTATCCCCCTCAGGAGCTCAGAGAGACCATATCCGATGAGGCAAAGGCAGCTAGGCAACCTCTAAAACAAGATGAGTGGTCCTCAGTCAGAACAGCATGCAGCTTGCATAATATTAGAGCCCCTCCCCGACTGCTACTAGAGTACTACAGTTCCAGTGGGAATGGCCCTTTGTCCTAGGATCGCCTTTGTTACCAGAGCTACTGTGCTTCCCAAGTATGAGCCATACATTTTGCATATAAAGGAGATGTGGAATCTGCATATGAATGAGCAGAGGGATTTGCATAATGAATAAATGTGACTCATTCATATTGAAAACCCATGGCTCATTAATATGTAAATCTAGCAGCTCATTCATGTTCTTGTGTGTTTCATGGGTACAGAAAAATACCTCCTTAGGGGGAGGGGCCAAATTCTGGTCTGGCACTGGAGAGAAAGCTGTAAATGGTGAGATGCTGCTCACCCACACTATCCACACTGTTTACCCATACAGACATCTGGTCTCTGGGGGTCCTCTGTGGGGAAAGGCAAAAAGGGGCTGCACTGTATATTTCTTGCTGTACCTTATATTCCTGAGTTGTGCATTGTACATTATGTACGCAGTTTTTATTGCACAGCATTTTTGCTGCCTACAACCCATCAGCAGCCACAACAGGTGTCGCAGTATTCAGCAGAATGGTCAGTGTCAAAAGATGTTTTATATGCCAAATGTGTTTGCAGTGTACTTGATGTTTATCACTGTATTCTTTGCAAGAGCTGTTGGGTTGCTGCATCTTTAATATGTTGTACAGACTAAAAGTTGGAGCTAGCTAAACAAATACATGCATCATTTTACTAACAAAATCTTCTAGGCTGTGTTTCAGTCCTTATTGTAGCGCTTGTAGGAGGGGCTTGGCAATTGGCTAGTAATGGGGTCAAGAGTACGAGTCCCTAGCCCCCTCTCCTGTTCTGCCAAACCCTCTGCCATATTGTGCCCTGCTCTATGCCATATTCTTCCACATGACATTCCTGGCCGTTGACTTTTATATCCCCAAAGGAAAGAATATCCACACATTAATAAGGTTTCTGCACTTTACTGGAGGTACTCCAGTATAGTGCAGAAAACAGTCACAAAACAGTCACATCGACATACATTTCTGAGTCACTTGACAGTGTATTCCTAATCACATTTAGTGGACAGTATGCAGCAGCTGCAGTGCTCAACATACATGAGTACACCCTGCCATTTTGCGGCATTTTACAGCGTTTTTCAGCGTTAGTGCGTTTTTACAGCTAAAAAACTCCTCTAGAAACCCACTAGTCCTAGGTTTTTTTTTCTAGCCAAATTACTTCCCAGCCAAAAAATGTTGATTACAGTCTATGCTGTACAGCAGCTGTAGAAATGTGAAGTGTGCATGAGAACTTAGGAGAAAAGCTAAATTTTAGACAACAAAATCATAATTAACAAGAATTCAACTACAGGTGAGTCTAATTATTCATTAAACAGGTGTCCAGCAGATAGTTGATTATAAAAGGGCATTACTTAAGGCTAGGTTCACACCTATGCAGCTGTTTCTGCATTTTTGCACAAGCGTTTTTATGCATTTTTGCTGCGTTTTTACATTTCTTTTTTTCATTTTTCTCTTGTTGCTAGACAGATTTAAAACTCAAAACACAGCAAAAACGCACTACATGCTTTTCTGCAGCATTTCAAATTAAATCTATAGAACCAAAAACTTAACTTTTTGCATTCAAAAAAGTCCCTGGCCCTTTCCAAAAAATGCCCTGGGTGAAAACGCGGAGATGTGAACATGTCCCACAGGAAATCATGTTAAATGGACTGTACCGCATTTCTGCAAAACACCATGGAAAATGCTTAGGTTATATAAGACTTGGTATTATGCCCACCATAGAACACTATTGTGTAAGAACTGTATAAAAAGACCTGCCTGTATCTTCAGATTATCGCTCTGTGTCAGCATGCAAGGGTGATCCAATGTTAACATTGTAACTCTGCATTAGTTAACCTATATCAGATGAAATGCATCCCGATTGGCGTAGATGTCCTTTATTGAAAAGGTCTACTTAACACTAGTGTAACAAAGAAAACCCCTTCCCATTTCATGCTGTCAGCAATGGCACCACATGGAAGAGGAATGTCAGGAAGGCCAGAGAAAGGAAATACTTTCGCTACACAAGAAAGGTGAAGGCTACAAGAAGATCAACAAAGCTTCACTTATCAGTCAGAATACTGTAGCAAAAGTGATACAAAAATTTTACAAAGATGGAACTGCAACCATCTTCAGGCCATCCACGGAAGTTAACACCTCGACAGGAATGTTCACTGCAGTTAGAAAAAGAAGTAGAAAGCCAAACTGGGGTGATTGTTTCCCGTGACACAATATGGCGTACACTGCAGAGGAATGGCATGCATAGGTGTTGTCCACGAAGGAAGCCTCTCCTAAAGCTCATGCACAAAAAAGTCTGCCTATAATTTGCCAGGGCCCATGCTGAAAAAGAAGGCTACCTGGACTCTGTACTCTGGAGTGATGAAACCAAGATAAATGTTTTTGGAACTGATGGCTTCAAAACTGTATGGTGTCGCAAGGGTGAGGAGTACAAAGAAAAATGCATGGTGCCTACAGTGAAACATGGTAGTGGCAGTGGCCTTCTGTGGGGCTGCATGAGTGCTGCTGGTGTCGGGGGGAGTTGCATTTCATTGATGGTACCATGAATTCACAGATGTACTGTTCTATATTGAAAGAGATGTTACCATCGCTCTGTGCCCTTGGTCGTCGTGCACTTTTCCCAACATGAAAATGATCCAAAACACACATCTAAGGCTACTGATGCATTTCTGAAGAAGAACAGGGTGAAAGTGATTCAGTGGCCAAGTATGTCTCCTGATCTGAACCCAATCGAACACCTATGTGGAACTCTGAAGAGACAAGTTGAGTATCACTCTCCATCCAGCATCCAGGCTCTAAAAGAGGTCATTATTGAAGAATGGAAAAAGATAGATGTTGCAATATGTCGCCAATTTGTTCATTCCATGCCTAAAATACTTAGGGCTGTCCTTACAAATCATGGAGGTCATACAAAATATTAGATGTAGTAGTTTTTGTTGTGGGGTGTATTCTCGTTTGCATTAACCAATTTGAGTAAAACTGAAGATTTTGTAATCTAAGTTACATTATTAACCTTACTTTCATGTAATGAGCTAAACAAATGTTCAAAAAAACTCAGTTTTGACAAAATTTGGGGAATTGTTCTTGTGTTCATTGAGATATTGATTAGAATCTTACTTTTCAAAAGGAGTGTAGTCATTTATGCTGAACACTATATATGTGAAAGCATTAGCAGCAGCCAACTTGCCTCAGACAGTCTTTCCCGTCAAGTCTCACTTTATAGCTCTGCCCATCCAGGTATGCTCCCTGCCAGGGGCAGACTGACCATTTGGAAACTTGGGCACTGCCGAGGGCCCGGGGTCAGTAGGTGGCCTCATGAGATGCCCCTGGTACCTTTTTCATAGGCTTTTTGAGTTTGGGCAAGGACACAGGGGCCCCATGATCCCCTATTGCCCAGGGGCCCCATGAGTTGTCAGTCTGCCCCTGCTTCCTGCATTTTATCTCCTGATCATCAGTCTTTAGTATTCACTCAGGGGCTCAGACTTGACCATTAGGCTTTAGTCATCCAGCTCACAACTCTCCTTTAGTTATTCCAGAGACAGGATGGCTGCAGCTGCTTCTACTGAACTATGTACACCTCTCCTGGGACTTCTGCCCTGAGCCGGGCTTTGGCTGTGCTGACTACATTAAGAGGCATGGAGGAGCTCAGCTATGAGGAAAGATTAGAGGAACTGAATTTATTCTCTCTTGAGAAGAGGAAATTAAGGTGAAATATGATCAACATGTATAACTACATCAGTGGTTCATATAGTGAACTCGATGTAGAGTTATTCACCCTGAGGTCATCAAAGAGGACAAGGGGGAACTCTTTATGTCTGGAGGAAAAGAAATGTAATCTCCAAACATGAAAAGGTTTCTTCACAGTAAGAGCTGTGAAAATGTGGAATAGACTCCCTCAAGAGTTGGTTCTGGCCAGCTCAATAGATTGCTTTAAAAAAGGCCTGGATTATTTCCTAGATACACAGAATATACAGTAACTGGATACTAACATTTATAAGTAAAGTTGATCCAGGGAATATGCGATTGCCTCTCAGGGGATCAGGAACAAATCTTTCCCCATGCAGGAGCAAATTGGACCATGCTTTGCTGGTTTTTTTTTGCCTTCCTCTGGATCAACTGTGGGTATAGGATTATAACTTTTTTTTTTTCTATGGTTGATCTAGATGGACTTTGTCTGTCTATGTAATTATGAACATCTGCATCAGTGTGAAGTGCTTGGCTCCCCATCTGTAACTAGGGCTCATCCAAACCTACCTTATATATGGGCCCATGATGTCACTACAGGAAGACCATTTCTAAAAGGAGAGCTATCACTTGTTTGTAACTTTTCCTTTTACCATACTATTTTAGGAGAGACCCAACTAGTGGCAGACTAGCTAACTGCAGCTGCTTACATACTTAATCCCGAAGGAGCCGCTGTTTCTTGGGTCCCCTCTTCCTGTGCCCACGACTCTGCAAGTAGCCTCATGCAATTGGACACACATGGAATGAAGGAGGGGGGATATTTATTGATGAAAATACTGTGCATATAAATCTATCCTAACACATATTCTGACTAACCTGTGTAACAAACTTCTGTATACTTACCTATTTTCAGCCAGCTTTGATCAGTTTCCCCCATGCCAGCCAGCGCCCCCTA